CCCAACCCCGAGGGCAAACCCCGGGGGGGGGGGCGGCTTGTTTTACAACGTCGTTGCCATGCGACAAAAACCCAACCCCGATGGCAAACAGGTTTCGGGGGGGGGGTGTCATTCCAAAAAGGTTGTCGTTCCTAGCTGTGGTGGTGCGACGATGCCGTGCATATTACCCTCACCTTGATATTTGGCGACAGATTCTCACCTGGTGCATCCTACATTACTACAGTGCAGTGATGGCAATTCTATGTTGCGGTAAGGTTTCCTTCATCCAAGAGATTCGGTGTGGCCATGGCCGCCATAGATGATAAATTGTATTTCGTAACATTTTGTTTAGTGTATCATGGCTGGTATGCCAGCGTGAAGTACATGTCTAGCACAGAAGTGCGTGGCCGTGTTTACAGGCACTGAACAAGCTTGAGAGAAGAAGCCGGTACCATTGCTACGACGGAATCTCCACATTGAGGAGCAAACAGACAAGAAGGCAGTCCGAGGCTGCCTGCTAAACAAAAATCCATGTTCCATGTCAAACGCAGCAATATCCAGCCGATAAGGACATCAATACTACTACGAAGGAGGCGAAACAACCACAGCAACGGAGGTATCATTGCGTCACTCTTACCGTACATCCCGTGGAGAGAAGACGCCAGCATCGTCGCGGTCGATGCGGTGGGACGCAGGGCCCTTTCAAGAGGCGCCTCATTGGGTGACTTCAACTGCAGCGCCAAGTTGGATGATGCTTTGGAGCAAATTCTATACTTTACCCCGCTGCTGAAGGCGTTTGAAGAATTTTGTCAGAAGGCGCTCTGCATCGAGGTATAACCAGGTTCTTCACCATGTGACTCGGGTTGGTACGTTGGTACAACCAATTTCTACATACGATGATGGTGGATCCAAAAAACTTCCATCTTCTTTGTCAGTTCGGAGAGTGAGTTTTGTCACACAACGAAGTCCGCATGTTAAGGTACACGCAGGTCCGGGATGAAACACGAAACAAAGATATAACAATACACGGTGAAAGGGTGATAGGACCCCCTGTGTGTGCCCCCCCCCCCCCCCCCGGTGTTTGCCATCGGGATTGGGTTTTCGTCGCTTGGCAACGACGTTGTAAAACAAGCCGATCACTTCGTGAACTCGGCAACCAGGTTATTACCGCTTTTTATTTTTGTGGCCTCTGTTTTTTATTTTGCGGTAACCATACGTGTATGGTGGTCGAGTAGATTATGTTGTGCGGGGTCGAGAATCCTCACTCCGCGCAAGGGGGATGATCGCACCACGTTGTGTTAAAATGGTCAAGCACCCTCGAGGCAGTTACACAATGCTTTTAACTGTCTCTGGAAGTGAAAGCACCAGAAAACAAATCAAGTCATACGCAGCAGCTGTCATCCGTACGCAAGGAAGTAAGCACAAGATGCCGAACACCCTTAGCAGGATGCAGCGCAACCTTCATGCGACTCGCCGAATACCTCACGGCGCTTCGAGCTTGGTGATGTGAGAGCCTGGTCCGGTGAGAACCCGGCGTGCTCCGTCCCGGCTTTGTAGGGATGCGAGGTCAATGGTCTAACGACTACGGCATGTACGACGACTACTATGAGAACACCCCCCCCCTGTGTGTGGCCTCCGTACCGTACCATTTACGACCTAGCTATTGTAGGCATTTCGTTCTACTATCTGCTTGTCACATGAGGAAGACGACAAGCCATCATATTCAACGTTCGTTTAGGTTTTTGTGGATCCCCACCCCCCTCTCATTTTTGCTCTCCCAACGCCCCTCCCTCTCCCCAACTTTTCGCGACCGATGATCTGTCACCGCGACGATGCGATGTGATGTCATCGTACAGTCACTCATGTTCTTGAAGGCGGTTGTTGGATTCAGGGATTCCGTTCATGCATCGACCGCCAATGATGACGACAATTTCGCACTGTTGACGGATATCGTCCATAAGTACGTCCAGAGCGGGTCTCCGTTTGAGGTCAACATCGACAGCAAGACCAAGAGCAATATTCTAGTAAAGACCACCAGGGAAACCTTCAAACAACTCCCTCAGGTACTTCCATGGGTCGGTGGTAGTTTCGTTAAGTTCATAGATGATAGGTGTACGCGAACTCTGGCCGTAGATGAGGTCTGTACTACGCGTCACCGAACGTGCTACACGTACCTCAAAGCTTTCTTCATCTGTATTAACGTCAATGGACCCTACCGCCTACTTTCGCGACAATGAACGATATGAGGTTCGAAACTGAGCACAAATACTGCGCTAACAACCAACGATTGATTAATAAATACGATAGATATAGGAACAGTTTTCCTTCGATTGAATGGATGGCTGGTTGGGTCGAAGCAAGTCAAGAAGATGACCAAGCAGCTCCTTTGGAGACAGCCCCTTGATGGCCCCACTCATTGAACACTTCTTCTTCAGCCTACAGTCAGCCTTTCGTCAAGGGCATCATGCCTTCGGCGGGGGCACTCATTTTTTCTTGTTTATTAGCGTATGGCGCTCTGCTACTGATCACCTCGCATCACTTCGCATCTCCCCCTACTCCTCGCATCTACATCAAAATATTTCCCTGTAACACATTCATTCCTCTAAGAGGTCAATCCACTCCGTCCGGTCTTTAGTTAGTTAGTTAGGTGTCACCGTTCCATAAGGTACCATGTGGTGTCTAATGCCGTTCATGAACCACGTACTTTGTTCTTGCCGAATCTCGGAGGCGCTAGAAATCTCCACGCTCTCCGCAAGATTCAGCTTGATTTTAAGGGTGTCCGGAGTTGTTACCGTTGGGGTGTGTGTTGGTGTTCGACCGTCTCAGCCTCGAAAGACGAGGCAGGGTGCTGCCGACTCAATTTTCTCCGATCTCGATCTGTTTGTGCGTAAGGTTGCCAATCTGCCATCAAATTGAAGCTCCGTCCATTGTACAGCATTCACTTTGGACGGCCTTCTCGAGGCAGGCATGGGCTGGATGTGCGTCCATTTACTTGGCGTGTTAGTGAGAGAGGGGTTCGGGGCATAATCCGTCATGTTCATCCAGTTACAACACTTTTTTTGTGCACACAGGGATTTATTTGTTACATGTGTGTGCGAGTCTTCATATCGTCTGTGCTCTCTACATCGGGTGCGTAGGCTATACCGCTGTGACCGCCCTTGCTCATCGCTTTTTTTTCATGACAACACCGTCGTCATCATCACGCACCATCCGTTATCATGACAAAACGAGCCTACAGCACCTTCTTACCAAAATAATAACTATCTATCTATCTATCTATGTCCTTTCGAGGAGTTTTTTGTTTTTTGCACGCTTGGCTGAGGTAAGCTGCTCCGTTGCTTGCCAATCAATCAATTTCGAGACAGAGGGGGTGGGCTCCTCGAAAGGGACCTCCTCGTGCTTATTTCCCACTCTGTCGGCCCGTTTCACCTCCGCAGCGATCATTGTCCCGCTGCGTGAAGGATCCTCCTACCTGCGTTTCACCCGCACTCACTCACGCTTTCTTCTCGCAGGGCGATGTAGCTGACATTCTGGATGACGCTGCTCGAGAAGTCGGGAAGATGCTGAAAGAAAACCTTTACAACAGGTTCCGAGACACCAATCAGTTTAAACAGATCACAGGCGCCATCCGCGAATGATCGTCATGGAATTATTTGGGGGGTGGATATCCCCGGGCAAGGTCTGAATTTGTTTGGTGTCGTCGTGTTCTACATGTATGTGTAGTCGACCTCCCGTAGAGGCTTTGAGGGAAAACTCGTGTTGCTACTCTCCATAGTGGTGGTATACATTGGTTTCAACGAGGTTTCTTTGCTGTCTCCTCTACTCGTGGGTTTCGTTCCATCCAGCGAGCGGGTGTCGACACAAAAAAAGTAGTCTCCGTTCTTTCTTCTCCGCTACTACTGTAGTACCTGCTACACGAACAAGGCGGAACCGCCCCATACTCGAGACGCCGCAATATTTTGACGGTAGGGAAGTAGTAGCTCGGGATCATGGGCATTCAACCCAGGTTCCGCGAGGAACAAGAGTGGGGGAATCGAAATGAGTATGATTCAGAATGCGAGCAAGTGGTGAATTCGGTGAACGAAGCCTCCGGTGGTCCTTTGCCTCGATTCGTTGTATGGCAGTTCTTTGCGTTGCCCGCGCTGGTATTTTTACTACCGTGAATTATGGCTTTCGTGTCCGCTACGTTACGACAACAAACACCTCCATCAACCCATTGGCTCCCGCCGGATCAAGGGAAAGGCATCACCGCTTCAATTCACTACCAGAAACGGAGGACAATTTTCAGCACAAACAGGTACACCACAACGACAACAACAGCGTCTTCATTCCAGGAACTCGTTGGACGAGAGCAATTTGTTTGATGAAAGTCAATTTGACCTAAACTGGTTTCGCACTGCACTCGGCAAAAACACGAACGAAAAAAGGACCTTTCCAAAATCGTCGGAGGTGCTTCTGAACATCTACAACAATTTTCCACCAGTTCGTTCGTACTTTAGGCCTCAACCTCACCACACCGGATCGCTGCAACAGGGACAATTTACTTCTAAGCGTGCCGAGACGACACAAATTTCACCATTGCAACGACCACCGTCCCGACAGCCTGACGGCCAATTTCCAGACCCCTTTAGGCTGTGCACATCAACCAAGACACCCTAACTAATCTTATCCACTCTTGGCACTAAAACATGGCAGTTCGTGCAGGAGCTGGGTTATAGGTCGAAAGAGCGAACCAACCTACTCTGCAATTCCATCGCAACAATCTCCTACTGGGAGCTAGCTGGTGCCCCTCTCCTCGCGTGTCGTGTGCACATGATATCGCAACAGAACCGCTATTAATAGGTAGGAGTACTTGCAGTCAGCATGCTCAACCACGAGGTCGTGCGCGGAAAATTGCCTGCCGCCACCCCTGCCACTAACAACGCAACACCGGGCTCTGTAGCACAACACCCCTTGCTTCGACTTTCCTCTCGCGCAAAGCAACAGCAGTAGCGCGTGAGACAGACCAGGACATCCAAGGCAATATCTCCGTCAAAAAACCCAGCAGAGGGGGGCCGAAGAAGCATCCGTCGAAACGGAAAAAACAAAACCAAAATCGTCGCAGAATCGGGTCCGGATCGGCGGTCGGGGTCTCAAAAAAGAGAACCATGGACGCCTCAAGGGTCACGGGTCGGGTCAGGTCGGGTCAGTCATTCCATTTGTGGGTCCTTCTCAGGGTCTTTCTCTGGGACATTCTCTATTCGGGTCGGGACAGTTCACGGTTTTGGAATCTCTCACGGGTCGGGGCTTCCACAGACTTGAGAACGGGGTAGCCAGGAAGCGACATTTCAACCAACAGTTGGCGTTCGTGAACCAACAGCTCCTGTCAGTCGTCGTGTGTCCCTGAACCCCCCGCCCCCTAAGAAGCCTGGAAATCTCACAAATCGGGTCTCTCTCATCGTCATCACGACGGAGTTGCTTCCTTCCTCATCAGCCGAAATTTCCCAAAGGGTCGGGTCGCGGGACAGGTCACCAAAAAAGAGCAAATAAACGGTGGTGCCAGACAGGTACACACAGGACCCCCCTCACACCCATTGAGCAAAAACGTTGGTGGATAAGATACATCCACACGACGTGTTCAACCCGGGTGTTCCATGTGGGCCACAACGACAGAAACAGAGTCTTGTCGCGGAGTACAGGAAACACAAAGACATTCTCAACACTCAGCTCCAGGTTCTTTGCACCCTCAACTGCCTTACCTCAGATACGTACGAGCATTGCGGAATGCCGCTCCGATAGTTCAACTTACGACCTACAAACCGCTTCATGATGAACAGGAAGAAAGTCTTTTGCTGGGTGGGGGTGCAAGACCTCATCAGCTGTGCAACACCAAGCGGTCATCGCAGCAAACACGATATAGCAAAGACAAAAACCTAACACACCACACACAACAATATCGTTTTGAAGACGACAAACTTAACTACTCCAACAAAAAAGACTGCTACATTCAACTCCGTAAAACTACATACGTCAAAACACCCACGCACGAATTAACCCTCTTGAAGCTCTTATTCGAATCATCCCTCCTGGCAGCACCGGTCCTTGGAATCGATGAAGCTTGCGCAATCCTAACGAACGCCTTAATTAATCAAACGACTTCTTGGTGCCCTGGAAGGACTGGATGCCCTGCTTCGCGCGGGCGTTGAAACCCCCGCCTCCGCCCCCACCCCTACCACCACCCCTTCCCCCGCCCCGTCCTCCCCCGCGCCCGCCGCCCCTGCCACCGCCCCTTCCACCGCCACGGCCGCCCCCACCGAACGAGTCGTCGCGGGGTGCCCGGGGTGCAGCGTAGTCAACCTGAGACACATGAGGGAAAAACGGAAGGAGAGGTTTTGCGGTGTGGTTTTCGAGAGGAAGCCGGGAATAGACCAAGAGATAAAAAAAATCGCACTCCACACAGCTTTTTCAGAGCCAAACAAGCAGGGGTAACTATTAACACAACCGTGTGAGGACAACAACCAATGCACTCTACGAGAAATCGCCTCAATAATCATGGGTGATCGAGAAACGCGTGTACATTCAGACACATGACGAACCGCGAGCTTTCCCACCGCATGCAAACAAAAACGACCACCAACCAAGCGTGTGAAAACATAAATAACCCAAAAGACACTCGCAGCTCCCCACAGCAACACTTACGCGAGCTTTCCCACCGCATGCAAACAAAAACGACCACCAACCAAGCGTGTGAAAACATAAATAACCCAAAAGACACTCGCAGCTCCCCACAGCAACACTTACGCGAATAGGTCGGCCCATGACGTCGCTGTTGGCGAGCTTCATGGCGGCATCGACGTGCTCTCCATCGTAGAACTCCACGTGTCCGAATCCCCTGAACTCTCCCGTTTCCCTGTCCTCGGCGAAGCGGACGCTCTTGATGTCGCCGCACTCCCCAAACGTCTGCCGGATGGTGTCCTGCCAAAAGGAGACCACAACAACACGAGACAAGAATGGTTTCAAACACAATTTTGAGACCAGACAAATCGTTTGGAAAGTGAAACACACAGGACGTGCTGTCGTCCCCCCTTTGCATGCCCACACCGCTTGCGCTTTGTTTTTTCTCGTCGTTTCTTTGCTTGCTCCTTTGGATCATCACATCTACAAGGAGAGATTATCACAACCACGAAAAGGAAGAGCAACAGGCACTACAATGCATCTAGAACGAGACAACGAAGCCTCGTGTGCCTCTTTCCTCACATCGAATAAAAAATCCATTTCGCTCAAAAGCAGGCACCAACCCAAGAAATAGGCACGGGAACTCTACAGACCTGCATCATACGACATCGACCGAGAACCAAAAAAATAAAAAGCGTACATACCTCGTCGATGGACCACGAGAGGTTCCCGATGAACACCGTCGTGCAGCCGGCCGGCTTAACCTTGGGCTCCCCGTTGCGCGCGTGGTCGGGCTTCTCGAACGACATCATGATCTTGAGCCACCGGCCCCCGAGCTCCTGCCCGTCTAGTTCGATGGCCTTCGCCGCCGCGGCGGCGCTGTCGAAGGTCACGTACGCGGTGCCGCTCGAGCGCCCGTCGGGGTTCTTGGGCTGCTCCACGGTCACGATCTTGCCGCAGGCCTTGAAGAAGTCCTTCACGTCGTCGTCAGAGGTGTCCCACGGCAGGCCGCGGAGGTAGATCTTGCTGTTCTCGCTCTTCGCCTGTTTGTTTTTTTTTCGTCGGGATCGTGCACGCGCGTGCATGTTCAAGCGTAGAACGAAGCGTGCTGAGGGTCGTTGTTTTTTCATGTGCTAGAGGCATGTCTTGTCTGAAATTCCCGGCCTAACGAACGACACGTGGTGAATGCTTGCTGACGGTGGCGTTTCCCATGGAACTTAAAAGGGAACTCTATTTCCTAGCCTGTTTCATGCTTCGGCCCGACGCTCCCACGGCACCATACACTTTACTGCGTATCAAGCGCGGTAGAAACAGCGGTAGTGAGAGGAACTCCAGTCGACTGACAACTATGTACGAGAGAAGAAGGCATGCTGGTATATGCATACTGCGCATCAAGCGCGGTGAAAACAGCGGTAGTGAGAGGAACTCCAGTCGACAGACAACAATGTACGAGATAAGGCATGCTCGTGTATGCATATGCAGATCACGTGCCGTACCTTCTTTGCGTCACCCTCTTCGGCGTCGTCGGCCTTCCTCTTCTTGCTCGGCTTCTCCTTCTCCTCCTCCTACGGTTGTGGCGGAAAGGAATTAACCCCGACGAAAACGAAAGGTACTTCGGCGTTTGAGAAAAGGGCACGGGTTTTCATCTGCTCACCCGAACGTCAACTTCGTACGAAGTACCAAGGGCGGCAGTTATATCAAAAACCAGATGAGGAACACAAGTGTTACCCATGAAAGGGCCTAGCCCCAGATGCAACTGCTATAACCAAACGGCACCGACGACAGAAAGAAAGGAGAAAAAGGCCAAGGCTATCATATCACAAAGTTACACATTCGGCTTCTTGCAAGGGCGGTCCTCATACGAAAGATGGTGATCAGGTGTTTTCTCCACATGTTCGCCTTCTGGAGTGGTGCATAGATTTGTAATCAGGGGACACGCCGACAGCACTTGCCAAACACGAAAAACACGGCCGATGGCACAAAGAGAAACGACTTGGAAACATGCAGGGTATCTATCTCACACACATCACGGGAAAAAAAACCAGTCACGGCGGGAACGCCTTCCTTTCTCAAGTGTACTGCTGTACGAAAAGAAATAATGTTAGCCGTAACGACTTCAACCCATCCCCTTGACTGCTGTGGTTATATCTGGAACGGGGTAGTCTCTTTGTATGACACGCATATTTTGTAACCAAAAATCCAGATGAGCGATGGTGTGTGCCTGGTCGGTGTCCCGGTTGGGAAGAAGAGTCCTCATACGTAGCGATTCGTTGCCACACGCGTGCGCCTCTGCCGCAAGGCGGCAGCGACGCGGGTTCGGGCTAGGTATGTTGATATCACGGGACGTCTGCTACCTCGGGACATGGCCATCAACAGGGGAAGGGGGGAGGAGGGCCAGAATCACGACGCCTGACACAAGAATTGACTATTGCCAACGAAAATCGTGAGAGACGGAACATTTACGGCATCCCTCTACAGGTTTCGTTTGTGGGCACGGGAGACGGGCTGCCGAAAGTCTCGTGTTAGTGTCGTGTGTTATGTTGTGGGCTTCTACGTAAATTGAGCTTTCGTGATTTTCCATTTTTTTTTTGTTTTGACGTGCGGGTCCTCATACGAAAGATGGTGATCAGGTGTTTTCTCCACATGTTCGCCTTCTGGAGTGGTGCATAGATTTGTAATCAGGGGACCGACGCCGAAACCGAAAAAAAAAAGACATCACGTACGCAACGCACACACCACGACAGCAGAAGGAGGTGTTGAAACACCGGCGGGCGCCTTCAACAACACGACGAAGGTCCGCTTTAGACAAAAGATACCGCAAATGAAAGACTCTCGACGCATTGCTCGCTCGGCAGTTCAAGCGACGATGGGCTCACTATTCTGAAAGGGGTTCAGGGGTTGTTGCTGAGGGCGCTGCGCTCGCTATGCAAAAACGCTAACCCTCAAGAAACATGCCGAGTTTCACTGCACCTCATCGTCATCCGAGTCCTCGTCTGAATCGTCCGAGTCATCGTCTGACGATTCCTCAGCCTTGGCGGCGGTCTTCGCCTTCGGCTTCTCCTTCTTGTCCTCCTCGTCATCGTCAGATTCCTCGTCCTCGGAGGAGTCGTCGCTGTCGTCGTCCGAGCTTTCGGCCTTCTTGTCGGCCTTCTTGGCGGGGGTGGCGGCCTTGGCCTTGGGCTAAAATGGAAAGGTAAAAACACAGGGGAAGGGGTAAGGAAAGACAGTGGACGGGAGATGGGTAAGTGACCGACCGACCGAACGAGTGAGCGAGAGGCAGAGGGGAGGGGGGGATACTATGTACTGGCACTCGACGGCGGAAACAGGTCATCAACCATTTCGTCCATCACGTGCTTCATTTCAAGGGATGGAAGACAACCTCTTTTGGATGCTTCTTAATATTTCATCATTCATCCAACACACAGAAAGAGAGCAACCTTCCCGTCGTTCAGATCTCATGCATTCTACTGTTGTCAGTAGTCAGTAGAGACCCACGCAACGCGAAGTATGTGCTGGCAAGTTCAGGTTTTCCCGCTGGACTGAAATATCGTCGCAGCAGTCTCTTGAAACAGTCCGTGTTTCGCGCCGGAACCCAACAGCTGTCACAGCCGTCCTCACCGCCACGGACCGTAAACCCCTATCCGGCTGGTCGTCAGCAGTAGCTAGTGGCGGCGAGCACAAGCAGTACAAGAAACTGGGTGTCGGTCTAATTTGTGGACACCATGGGCGGCTACCACGACCCTCGGTGTCACCACCCAAGCAGCATATTTGACCGCGCTAACACACATACACCGCTGTTTCAGCAGTATCGGGTGCCCTGTGGTAATATCAGTAGAAAGCATGAGATAAAGAGTGTTTAAAACCGACGCACCTTCTCTTCCTCGTCCGAAGACTCTTCATCAGAGGAGGATTCCTCGGATGAGCTTTCCTCCTTCTTCTTCGCAGCGGCGGCAGCCTTTTTTGTCGGGGCGGGAGCGGCCTTCTTCTTGTCCTCCTCGTCATCGTCGCTGTCCTCGCTGTCATCACTGCTGTCGTCATCGCTCGACTCGGCCTTCTTCACGGGTGCCGCCGCCTTGGCCTTGGGCTTCTCCTGGCGTCAATTGTGGGGTGTTGGTGCCGTGCTCAGCAAGCATCGCCACGATAGGCGGGTCGGGATAATGCAAATGCCCGGCCGCGTTGTTAGGTGCTACCGTATACAACCACTGTTGGGGGGTATACAAGCGTACGGTACCATCAGAGGGTATAGCAGACGTTTTCCGGTGATTGTCCTTCGCGGCACAAGACATGACCTCGGAGGAGTTAACGATGTCAAGAAGCGTGCCACGAGAGGGTAGACGTTTTCGGGCGTTTGTTGGATCGAAGGTCTGGCTGAAGGACATTGCGCTGCAGGGGTTGATATGAGAGGCAACACCTCCAACGTCATGCCATTCCAAGGCCATATCGACACATGATGAACGTTAGGTACCGCATACCTTGTCATGGTGCGCTTCTTGACATACTCGACCCCTCTTTCGGCACAACAAAAGCAAGAAACGTCACACTACGCTTCTCGACATCGGCGCCCCTGCCGTTGGTATCAAGTGCGGCACGGGCTCGCCGCACATGTGTGACTCTACTTCAAATCGTACGGCTTGCTGACCTCCCCGTATCCTGCAACAACAAGGTCCATGTCGTATCACGATGCCAGAGTGCTCAAACTCATCGACCACGGTCATCCAAATCTCCTGCTGTATGTAGCATGTTAGAGCAGCAGCACAAGAGTGACAACACTGCTGTAAATTTGCCGATGTCGGTGCAGTACATATACACTGACCTCTTCGGAAGACTCTTCCTCAGAGGAGCTGTCGTCATCGCTGCTTTCCTCCTTCTTCGCTGCCTTCTTGGCGGCCACAGCCTTGGGCTTCACCTGGAGACATTCATTCGGCGAGTCAACAGCAGCAGCAGTAGCAGCGACGGCAAAACAAAGCAAGAGGCAAGTGCGACAATCAACAACGGGGCAGACAGGCAGACAGACACAAGGGAGCGACACGCCGAACAATGAATGCTATCCTGACACAGGAAACCGGGCGAGACACCCATGAAGCATATTTATCCAGAACTGTTGTCCATGACGACCCTTCCCGTTGCCCGAGCAATACCTGGTTCCGGACGACAGGTAAACACGATCTTTGGATGGAACGCTATTTGTAGAAGCAGGGCGCATCCACGTACAAATACGCTTAGCTGGCGGAGGAAACAATCCCATCTTCCTCTCATGTACTCCACGCGTAGGACATACCGACCCGCCAATACTGCCGCCCGTGTACATATTGGACAAAACCCGTGTTGTACATGCACGGCTACACGGCTGCCGCAGTAGCACACAGCATCAGTTACACCGCTTCTTCAACACCCCGTTCGTCATTGAATGGCTACACAACAGCCTGGGGGAAGAGACCAACAACGACAGCTTCATGTAGAGATGAGAAAGTAAGAGGGAGGAATCAAGAAGGGCCTGTCACCAAGACTCCACGCCGACTTTGGCCGTCAGTGAAAAAGGGAGAGAGCACCAGCGGCAGACCATCGACACAACAAGAGGAAACATGTGTTTTGAGTGGCACACAATCGACCTGGTGTTTTGAGTGGGTGTGAGAGCGTCTCAAACAAGAGCCCAACAGAGCCAGCTCTCGCATAGCGAGCGAAACTGGTGCCACTGCCGTTCCCCGAGCACGCCAACGCTACCAGCGGCCACGCCAATCCCTCTCGACTCATACGCTTTATTTATTTAACCGCTACTACGCTTGCCCCCATTGTCCGGGTGCTCGTGTTGTAGTGACATCGGCAAGGTTGCGGGAGAGTACACAAGGAGCGACGGTTTTGGAGATTTGAAAACTGCCCCCGGATCGGTGGTGCATCCTGATGAGCGACCGCCCTCACCTCTTCCTCGCTCTCCTCCTCCGAGGACTCCTCCTCCGACGAGCTGGAAGGCGGCGGCGGCGGGGGTGCCTTCTTCTTGGTCTTCTTGTCCTTCTTCTTCCCCGAGGCCTTGCCAGCCTTCACTGGCTTGGCCACCACGGGCACCGTGGCGACCGGCGCCGCCGCGGCCTTCTTCACCTTCTTGTCCTTCTTCGCCACCTTGTCCGAGGACTTCTTGGACACCTTGTTCTTGCCCATGATTGATAGACGGGCTGAAGGAGCTGGCTGCCTCTCGTTGGGGAGGAGCGGTGGCAGATCGTGGAAGCGAGAGGGTCACAGACAGGCGGCGAGAAAGGAGTGGGCTGTGAGAGGGAGTGCAACAGACAACCCCGCGCCAAAAAAAACAAAAAGGCGGAGAAACGGTGCATGCCCCCCAACGTCTTTGTAAGGAACATTTCACGGAGCGCCACTGTGTGTGTTTGGTTTGCTTCCACAGCCACACACTCCTGCAAGCTGTGTGGTTCAGGCTGAACACTGCAGCAGATAAAGAGGGAAAGTACCCTCCAATACCGTAGAGTCATGGGCCAACCTCTTGCAAATAAAAAATATGAGTGTCGTGAGCTCCACACACAAAAAAACTACTTTACTGCTGTACAAATAGAAAGCGGTGTGCATTTATTTTTGGTTTGGATCCTGTGCGTATGTCCAAGCATTAATTGTTCGAGAGTGTGAAAGCAGATCAAAGGGTCTCAAAGAGTAGTGTAGGCATGTTCATCGAGATATTCGATGCGCATGCAGGAAGAATGGGGGCGAGACTACAGCAGTTATACCAAAAGTCGGTAGAATCATGTGGAGGTGCGAACCGTGTGTCGTTGCATTTCCACCAAGGGCGCGCACGGGCGGGGGCGGGATGGCAGAGCTGCCCTGATCGTATGCCTATGTGGCTAACCACACACGCAGAACTACACACACGAGAGACACATGACACGCCGAGGTGTACGCTGGGATCCGTCATTTGAAGAAACCAAAAAAGGTTCGCGCCGTTACTACAGTAGTAATGAAAAACAAACGCGTCACGGACGGGACGAAACCTACCTGCGGACTGACACACACAACAGAGGCACACTCATTTCTAGGAGGATCGTACAACACCCCGCGCCCTACCTCGTACATGCGGCAGCATCCGTTCTCAGTTGCCTAAAGATATACTACTGCTGTACGTGTGTGATGTGCGGCCTACTCCACCCCCTCTTCTCTCTCTACGAAGAAAGATGACTCGATCCCCGATATAACTTTCTTGACCGAAATAGGGCTTGGTAGATAGATTCGGTCCAAAAGACGAACCAATCGTGCCCCTTGAAAACACAAACGAACTGTACCTATGGAGGTAGTGTATGATACAAGAAAACCACCCTAAACCAAACCGTACTATTACTGCAGTTAGGTGTAGACACGGAAGATATGAGAAAGCAGCTCTCGCTCTCCTCCTACACTTCCGGGTGGCCGGCCGTCCACGACACACGCCATCAAAATCAGACATACATAGAGATACAAAAATTAAACAGGTACGCGGACGTTTGATTAGTCCTGGACTCGTATGCATACCAAAGCAGGCTCAGAACGCGATCGCCGCAACCCTCATTGGCTGGCTCATTGCGGCGTGGCCAAGCCTTCGACAACAACAGAAAAAAAAAAAAACGCGAGAAATCTCGTACCGACAGCATACCTTCCCCGCCTCTCCCCCCCCCGCCCGGTATGAACACCGGAGAGAGCCTTGTGTCCGTCCATCCATCCGTCAGACGGTTGCTTTTAAATTCCCTCTAAACGCGTACCACCACAGAATGCAACCGCCGTCGCGATCTTCTCCCGCACTCTCTCGTCAAGAGTCGAAGAGCGCAGCGTCTTCAGCGACGCCTCAATATCGTAACAAATCCCAAAGATTAGGATATACCGTTGGCAACAGAGACACTTTTCTTGCCTCCTCTGAAAGGCATCTACAAGTACAGCAATTGCTTTTACGATCTTGGATATCCCAGTCCAAACCGACCGTACTCCGATGAAGCCAAGAGGGGGGAAATCAAGGTACCGCTGCATAGCTCGAAGAGCCATTCACCGTTCCATATGCGACGCACGCGGTAAAAACGGGGGGGGGACAACAATTCCCCATTAGCTTCTCCCTCCGTTAATACCTTTGCTTGTGTTGTGGTAAAAGCACCACTCCACACCAGCCCTTAACTCGATAAAAAAGCACGCTACGGCTACAGGTTTGAGGAGTAACATGCTACGCCGATGGCCCACATATCCTCCAACCCGATCTCGCCCGCGCGCACCCTAGTGGCTGTCGCGACCTTAAGCGACGAGCCCAGAAAAGGGAAAGAGAGGACAGGCAGACAGATGTATTGCAAACTACCTCGTGGCACGTAGATGACGCAGAAGACACCAACGTGTATCAACGCCCAAGGATACACGGGGACAAGAACGACACACGCAACGAGAAGAAAGTTTGCTAAATAAAACGTTTCGTTCGACCGCCCGGCTGGCCCGCCGTCCACAGGCCGAATCAGATCAGGTTCACGTAGTTAGAAGGGAAGAGGCCTTTGCGTCCCCCCTTTTCTCCTGTCCACCATCCGCTCTGATCCTGGCTCACCACCGTTAGCACCTACAGCAGAGTTAAAACACGTCGTTCACCAAAAAGCAAGCCGAAAGAGAAGAGGCAAGCACAAGGATAAGGTGACCATCAACATCGAGACGGCGGCGGGGGGAGGAGGGGGCAAGCGCTCATGAAAACAAAACAGTACCAACGGCTTAACGGGAGGGCGGGCTCGAGGCGCTCACAACAAGAAAACCTGGGCGCAATACAGGCCACTGTACAACAGATGGACGGGCTCAGTCCGTGTTTCGCACATGCAACCAACAGCGGTACTGGTAGCAGCAGCAACGGCAGACGCAAGAATGACACTGGCAACGTGAACGACAAAACATCACAAGAGAAATGACGCAAGAAAAAGAGGCGTGAACGAAAAACATTACCATGGTTGGATACGTCGTCGCCGCACGGGCTGGAAGAATGAAGGAAAGGTTAGGAAATAATCTACATCAGTATGTGGTGCTTCGGACATGGATATTGTACAAATCAACGCGTGTCCATGGTTTGCTATCGTGTTCAGGCAACGCAGCGTCAATACCAACAGCAGCAGCAGCAGCAGCAGCAGCAGCCCACAAACAACACGAAACCAACACTACATGTCGAGAATAATCTGCCGTGGCTGTTCAACACAAGACCCGACTAACCTCGCCCTCCGTGAGCGAGAGCTCCGTGTTGTCCGCTGCGGTGTAACTGAACAGCGCTCGGGCTTGCTGTTGGCCCGCCGCGGGTGGCGCCGGAGGTCCCTAGCGGAATAATCCACGAGCGGGGGGGGGGGGGGGGGGGGGGGGGGCCAGTTCCAAAAAAAAAAAAAAAAAACCCAAAAAGGGCCTGGGGGGGCTTAAAGGAAAAGGGGGGCACCCCCCCTTTTTTTTGGAAAAAACCCCCGAAAAAAAAAAACACACAGGGAAAAGGGGAAAACCCCCCCCCGGCCCTTTGCGTTTTCCCCCCCTCGCCCCCCAAAGAAAAAAAACGT